CAGCACAGACTTTGCCAGAGTTTCCTTGGCCGATTGACTGCAACTCGCCGCACCCACGATACCTGCGATCTCTTCGATGCTGTTGGCACAAATGTCCAGCAGCACTGTGCCGTTGAGGATGCAGCTCCTCAGTGCAAAGAGACTCTGCAAGGACACTGTGCCCACGTAGGGCTTGCTCCAGCGCTCGCTGCCATCCTCCACATCCTCCTCAAACTTCAGCCACCTGCAGACATCGGGCACCATCAGCCCCATTGCAAGAAAACAGCCCCAGCCCTGCAGCCCCCGGGATCGAGCTGTGGGGTGCCGAGAGCAGAAGGCTCCTCACAGCAGCACCTGCAGCTGCAAAGCCTCGCCTCCTGCAGAGCAATAGGCAGAGCCCACGGGCACTGTCAGCATGGGGACTCCTCTCCTACTGCAGCCGGCAGCAGATACTTACCTTGCTGTTTCCTTCCACTCGGCACCCTCACCCTCTTTCGTGCAGATCTCATCCAGCTCGGTGAACAAGTCATGGGGGACGTGCTGCTCATCCTCCTTGGTCCCCAGGATGAACTGCACCCGCTGGGACGGGGTGTCTGGGGGCAGAAGACAAAGCCCCATCCCGTTACCGCGCTTGAATTTGGCGCATCATGTTCATGTGCAAAGTGAGCATTGGATCAGCACCAGTTCAGCCACAAATATTGGGCTGGGCCCTCTCCCCTGGCTCTGGCCAGGCTTGCACAGAGCCTCAGAGAAGGAGAAGCATCGATTCCACATCTGCATAGGGATGGGCATCTTTCCTTCCTCATATTTCCATTCTTAAAGCCAGGATCCCTCTAAGGAAGGTGACCCTAATTCCATTATGCATTTAACTGCATTAGAGAGAAAAAATCTGAGAAAAGTTTGGAAAAAGGGGGTCTTGCTAAATAATGCCCCTTTCCCTCGGAAGAACAGCAAGTCACTCCAGCTAGCCACATGGACCCCCAGCGCCCATGTAGCCCTGAGGAGTTTAGTGAAGGCCACGGTGGGACTTACAGTGGTAGCCCGGCTCCATCGGGGCAGAGTCCTTCTCCCGCTCCCGTTTCCGATGCTTCTGGCTGTGGGGTCGGTGATGCCGGTGGCTCTGCCTCAGCAGCGGCATCCATAAACCCACAGGCAGGGTCCGGTGGCCTGAGAAAAAGCAGCATTTGCTCTCACTATTGTGGGATGGTTGATGCAGACACCACAGACAAATCAGTGCAGCTATCCCAGGAGGAGACACCAACTTCTCTTAATTTTGTGATTTTTCACTGGATCAATGAATGTCACAGACCTGCCCTTTTATCGAGGTTTATTTTACCCGAGCTTTGCAACAACTGAGCAACAAGCAATGGCTCTGGGTCATTTAAAACTCACACCATGGCCTCTGCAGGGGGTTTTTCCCCTTTCTTAAAAAAAGCCATAATATAAACTCTGTAAAAAGAACTGTGCTGCTCTGTTCAGAAGCACAGCACTTGCAGAGACTCACCTTCCAAATCCTCCCTCTCATAGTGAATATTGACAGCGTTGCTCACTCTTCCCCGGTCAATCACTGCCTCCTCGTCGTGTCTCTGGATGGCAATGAGAAGAAGGTATGAGTTGGGGCTGGGTGTGTAGAGCTCCCTTACATCCTCCCACCCATCATCCACCCCTGCCTCCACGCAAGTCCACAAGGCCTCTGCGTGCTTCCTCCTCCAGACACAGCCCTAAAAACACAGACTAGTAGGAGCTTTTTCTTCCCATACCAAAAAAAACAGCTCATAAGATCACCTATACTGTACACAAGATGAGTCGGGAAGGATTTACTACAGGGAGAGAGAGCTGAGGGTTTCAGACCAGAAAAACAAACCTCCTGCTTCCTTCTTGTCATTCCTATCTGAAAACAAACAAAGAGGATTTCCAAATTGGGGTAAAAAAAAAAAAAAACAAACCCTGCATTTATTAACACAGCAAGTTTCAGTCTCCAAACGCAATACCTGCAGGACTCACTAGCTGGCCCTTGGCCACAGGACATGGCCACCAACAACCTCCAAAGGCCCTCAAGAGCCTGCAAGGGCAAAGCTTCCTCTTCAGCCCTATGAGGCTCCAGCTTCCCTTGGTGCCAGGGTGCTTCCCACCAAACACACCGATTTTCTCCTTGCAAAGGCCAAGGGCTGAGAGCTGACGCCCTCTTCACCTGAAGTACCACTGCTGGTGCTGCATGAAGAGCCATTGTGCCTTAAAAGCCGAAGGAGAATTACAGGGGCAAACAGAAATAAATCTTTTGGCTTCCCTTTTACCCTCGCACTGGGGCTGGGGAAGGGCATTGCCAGGATTTTCGGGCTTCGACCCAGCCACTGCGTCTCACACTCAGGTCACAGCTGCAACTTTGAAAGGGCCTCCTGGAAGCACTTGGTGGCACCAGTTAACCTGATGGGGAACAGGAGCAAATGCTCCTGTCTGGAGATGAGTTTGCTGGTCCCTGAGTACTAATTTCAGAGCCAACTTGTTGCTACCTCCCTGCCAGCTCCCGGGACTTGCCCATGTTAGCCGGCACCTGGATTATCGTGTGCCTGTGGCTTTCCTGCCCTCTCTCTCATGACAGCCCCCACCACCCTCCGTCCCTTCCGAGCAACGCATCCTGCTCCCCTCTGGATTTGTCAAGAAAACCCCAAACCCCAACCTTGGAAAAATCACAGAATGAAAGGGCTTAATAAAATTGCTTTAAATCGCAATTTACATAAAATAGCAATTTAACTAAAATCACAAGTGCAAGCGCATTACGTGGGTTGTTTCGGAATGGGCAGAAACGGAGCGATTTGGGAGTCGCCGCTTTCAAACGCCCTGCAGGCAACACGGGGAAAGTCTCCTTCTCTCTTAGAAACCACTTTTCCTCCGTGCTCCAACCGGCGACACTAAACCTGCCCCAGGAGCCCTCCCTGGGCAAAGCATCTCCCCCTGCCCGTCCTCCTGCACGCTGGGGAAATGCCAGTGGGATTTCAGGAGGAGTTTTCCCCCTGGCTGGGGGATGCTCAGCCCCTCGGCAGAGCCCCGGCTGTGGTACCTGTAACTCTTCCAGAAGGGACATGTTGTAGCACGCACTCGGGTTCATCCTCACGTCAGTCACCAGTTTTGGGAACAATCGACCCTCCAGAGCAATCGTGGGTCAGATTCCCCCAGGACACCAGTGCAGCCCTCAGCGAGTGGAGCTCAAGTGGCCCCCAGTGCGCCCCAGCAACAGAGACCCCACTGTGGCCATTGTGACCTCATCAGCTGTGATGCGGAGCCTGGACTGAAGCCATGACTTGGCCTGGCTCTCGCTGCCTGAGGAGCTGCTCAGCCCCAACTGCAGCGTCCCCAAGACCGCCAACGCCATTCTGAGCCTGGAGGACTTTGTGATGGGGCTGGAGGCCCTAGAGCCGTGGGGGGATGTGGGGATGGAGCCGCCCCCGCCCCAGCCGGCTGTGCCAGAGAAACAGGGCTGGAAGCAGGGGCAGAGCACCCTGTCACCACCCCCCAGCAAGCGCAGGGCGATGGCAGCCAGCACGGGGGGACCAGGGGGGACTAGAGACTGATGTGGGGAGCAGGGTGGTGGGTGACAAGGGTGGGGTATTTGGGGGGTGCAGGAGGAGGGTAGTGTATTGGGGGGGGCTATGTTATTGTATTTGAGGAGTGGGGGAGGCAGGTGGGGTGTTTGTGGGATGGGTGGGGAGTTGGTGTATTTGGGTGGGAGGGAGGGTTTAGAATAGTTTTGATGGGACATTCTCTGATGTTTATTGCCATTAAAATCTGTTTTCCTCAAAATCTCTCTGTGCCTGTGTGGGAGGGGGAGGCAGCACAGGGG